AGATACTGGAAAGATGAATGGGTTAGTGGTTTAACATCTTGGCGAAAAGCATTGAAGATTCCAGATTCTGATGTTGTCGTGGAATATAGATGTGCAAAAGTCACTGACCAGCTTGATCGAGATAGGGTTCATGTTGTCTGGAACCCTGGTTCAGAATTTGCTATTTGTGATTGCAAGTGGGCGGAAATGGGTAACTTGTGTGAGCATGTCTTTAAAATTATTAAATTATATCGTGATAAAGGGAGTAGAAAGTCATCTATTAGCCTATTTCAGTATAATCAGGCCCTGATCAACATGCTACGCTGCCCACCTTATGATTGTTTGATTCGTGATCATGCTGCTTCTCTAGCAGTTGCTGTACAGAAGCAACTAGATGGAATAGTTAATTTAGATGGCAGCCAGACTAATGCAGATACCACTGAGAAAAAATCTGCAAACTCACTTGAGCAGCAGGTGGTCTGTGGGACCGATTCTTCAAATCAAGATAAAGAAGTAGTGAATGCGACTCATCACATTGACAAAGATCTGCCATCTTACACTGAGAATGATTGTCAGGAAAGAAATGCACATGAGATTTCTCGTGGTGTTACAGGTGATTTTGTTGGTGTTGGAGAAGAATCGGCTTGTGCTCAGATGGATGTTGACCCATCGTCCAACTGCATTTCTCCACCCGGAATACATTCTGTTGATGATGTCACTCGGAATCAAGTTGATTTAGATAGCAACCAGAGTGCCGTGGATGCCACTCAGAAACAAGCTCTGGACTCTCTTGAGCAGCAGATGAGTGGGACAAACTTATCAAATCAAGCTAGAGAATTAGTGAATGAGAGTGATCGTATGGACAAAGATGTGTCATCCCTTAGCAGGAATGATCATCAGGTCAGACATGAGGCTTCTGGCAGTCATAGAGGTGATTTTGTTGCTGGTGTTGGAGAGCAGGTTGCCTGTCCTCAGATGGATATTGACCCGCCAACCACCAGTATTTCTCTGCCTGGATTACTTTCTGTTAATGAAATTGCGTCTAATGAAAGCTTTGAAAATGGAGACAGGATTATAAATAATGCAGTTTCTGACACGAGCAAGAGTCCTCCTCCTCATGATGTTTCGACTGATCAAGTCAGGCATGAACAAAATAGTGTAATGGATGTGAGACCATTATCCATTGATATCCCTTCATCAATGGAGTCCATGGAGCAATGTGAGGTGACTACTCAAAATTTTTCTAGCGACAAGGATCCTAAGCCATTAGTGAGTACTAATACAGCAGATGCAAGTACTGACAAGGCTTCTGATTCACAAATGATTGATACAGTTCAATCATTGATGGGAACCACAGATAATGAAATGATGAAACCAGAAAGTGATGGTGGAAGCAGGACTGAGAGCCAGAGATGTGATGGTAATGCATTCTCATTAAAAGGGGTTTGTGATAACAAGGCTAGTAATTCAAATCTTCATCACGATGCTAAAGCAGTTGACAACTTGAACTCAGAATCATTGCCAAGTTCCTCACCAATATCGAGGTGCATTGAAGAACAACCTTCCGGTAAGGTTGAAACTGAAGGAGCTGGTTCTTTCAAGAAGCCATCTTTTAGTGATAAATTGGTTTTTACTAGACGTACACGTCAAAAGCGAGTTGCAAATGACAAAAGTGATAATTAGATTGCCACTACCAACCAGCTGGTTACTGTAAATGATGTCATTTCAGAGGGAACTGGCTCAGGACAAATTGCTGATGGCTTGGTGGCAAGTAGTCTCTGATAGAGGCCATAGAGTTGCTTGTGTTGCAGCTAGTGATGGCTAGCTATTGCTAATCTGTGTAATCAATTTTCTCTCTCTTTCGTTTTCTTTTGTAGTTGTACATAGACTCCTAAGCAATTCTTTGTGACATTATGTTGATTTATCTGATGAGAGAATTTAACATATTTAGAAAGAACCTTTTCATAGTCACTGTAAAATCTTGTTCTTAGCAACAAATAATTGTCTGAAGGAAGAGCAAATGCTTGAAAAAGTTTATGGGGTGGAAGTGAGAAGAAACTCAGTTCATGTCTTTACACGCAGCCGATTGAGATGCTAGGTGATGCTTTTGAAAAACAATTATTTGGTTACTGTTCTAATACAGATGATACAGAAAGACGGGGATAGAAAAGAGATTTTCTTTTCTAATTTTAAAAATATAAAAATTCGTTAATTTATTAAATTTTCTTTGTTTTTCTGCCCAACTAAAATATTTTTTTTTGTTTCTTTTATATCTATTTTTTTTGTTATATATATATATATATATATATATATATTGTCGTAGGACACTAATTAAATACAACATTAACTTCATCTCTGGAATTTACAAATGACTCCATCTACTATCAGATTTTAAAAACAAGCCATCTATATTGACCTACATTTTTTTCTTTTTGCAAACATTATTCGAATTAGAATTTAAATTTATAAAATATAAATTAAAATAATTTAGCATCTAAACCAACACCTTAAAATATTTTTTCCCCCGCTTTAAATCTAGATGTTAAAGGGAATTTTAATTAAATTGCTAAATTAAAAAGAAAAGGAAAAAGAAAAAAAACCCAGTTTACTTTAAATACAAACCTGGGCCTGGTCCGGGCCTGAATCTCAAAGAAAATTTGGACCCATGGTTAGAAGAAACAGGGACATAAAAGTAACTTCAGAACCACTTTGAACTAGAGAGAAAGTCGGAGAATGTGGGCATATTAGTAGGGAGGGTAGTGGCACCCCCCCCCCCCCCCCCCCGCCACTTCCCCAAAAACAAAGAACAAAAAAAAAGAAGCACGCTTCTTTTTCATCTTCAAAAACATCACAGACTCATGTGTCGCAAAGAGAGTCTAGCAACAAGAACAACATAAGAGAGAGAAAGAGACAGAGAAGCAAGTGTCTAGTGGTCAGAAAATGGAAGGATTTAAGAAAGAAGAAATAAGAAAAGGGCCCTGGAAAGAGGAAGAAGATGAAGTACTGATTAACCATGTTAAAAAATATGGTCCCAGAGATTGGAGCTCCATTCGATCCAAAGGCCTTTTACATAGAACTGGCAAGTCTTGTCGTCTTCGCTGGGTTAATAAGCTTAGACCCAACTTGAAAAAGTAAGTATCAAATTAACTTGGTTAATTACATTTTCAACTTGTTGCAATTTTACATGCATGCAATGATAAATTATCATGATTTTGATCCTGGGTTGTTTCAGTTTCTCTTTGTTTTTAGTCCATTGCAGTAATGTGTGATTTTCCAGAGATGGGATTTCCTCTTGATTTCTTATTTCTTTTTTTGGTTGTGTCTGTGTGTGTGGTTTTATAGTGGGTGCAAGTTTTCAGCAGAGGAAGAGAGGGTGGTTATAGATTTGCAGGCAGAAATTGGGAACAGATGGGCAAGAATCGCTACGTATTTGCCGGGAAGGACTGATAATGATGTGAAGAATTTCTGGAGTAGTAGACAGAAGAGGTTGGCTAGGATTTTGCAGACTTCAGGAACACCACCTTCCTCTTCTAATTCCAAACAACAGAGGAGTAAAAATAAAGTTCCTGTCTTTCTGGATGTTCCCACATTCGAGGTAATTGGAAATAATTGCATCATCACCTGCTTTCAAGAAAATTTTGGGATTTTTTAGTTGCTGCAAAAAAAAAAAAGTGTTCCTTCTCTGGTCTCTGTTGAGGACTTCTGGTAGCATTTGATTATTTGACTCTTTGAAAGGTTTTGTCTGTAATTTATTTTTACCTGTTGTGGAAGGACAATTTACGTTCTTCTTGTTTTGTTATGTGTGAAGGCTCCAACGTTTAGTTCTTCAATGGAGGAAGAGGTATCCTCGAAGGCTTGCTCATCATCCTACTTGGAGAACCCTGAACAGATAAGAATGATGCCGTTACCACCATTGGTTAAATCTGAGTTGCCAGGCTGTGATGCAAATCTTGTTCAATACGAGCCCATGTCAGGAATTCCCTTCCCTCAAATCCCACAGCCCCAGCCAGACCTTGTATTCTCTCCAGAAAGCCATGAACTCCTGGCTAGGCTGGATGACCCTTACTTTCTGAATGTGCTTGGAACCGCAGATGCTCCTGAACTTGGAGATGCAGCACAATTTTCACTTGGGCCTCCATTGTTTGATCCAGTATCAAGTTGTATGAATATTCCAATTGATGTAAAAAATCCTGCGACCCCAGATACCCTCTTCGATGAGTTGCCACCGGACATGTTTGATCATATGGAACCGTTTCCAAGTCCTTCAGAGTGGTGAAGGACTAGTCGATCACAAGGCTCTTTTTATGTGGGTGTAGAAGGATGATTTATTGAATAGTTTCCTCAGGTGAAAATTGATTGCTATACTTTGTACTAACTCCAGAACTATAAATGTGACGGTTTGCCACTAGTCTCTCTCTCTCTCTCTCTCTCTCTCTCTGATAAAGATGTGAAATTGACTGCTGAACATGGAATTCCAGCCCGTTCGTGCTCATTTCAACAGCTTATCTTCTTTTTTTCTTATTCATTTACTTTATTTATTTATTGGCTGTTCAGTGAGTCGCAGAACCCGAGGTAAAGAGCAAGTGTTGCCTTGTCGGGTGGAGCATCACCACGTCTCTTTCACTCTCTTTTACTCGAGTTATACCAGCATCGCCATGTCTCTTTCACTCTCTTTCACTCATGCTATACCGGCATCAACATCCGATTGATGGCAAGTTTGTACTATTGTGGGTGATCTTGACGTATAGAATGACCCCCTTTTTTTCATGATGGTTGAAAGCAATGTTCAAGAGAAGTAAAACAGCTTATTATACAAACTCTTTCATCTTATAAAGTTGGACAGGCTTAACCCCTCACATCACCGTTATATTAAAAGAAAATATAAAGCTGGGCTCAACCAAGTCTATCCTACGGTAAAAGAAAAAAAAAACCCATCAGAACAAGGAATTCAACATTTTCCGCAGATAGGGAGTTCAACCAACATTTTCCGCAGAAAGGGAGTTCAGCCAACATTTTCAATCGAGACAATAACAATTCAATTCTCTGATGCAACAACGAAATGTAATTGACTTGTGTAATCAATTTGCCCTAAATTAAAAATCCCTTGATCAGAGTTCTAGTAAAAAACACAAACAAGTGCAGCTTAAAACAGCACACAAAGATTGACGGTAGGCATGCCTAAAATGGTGTTTGGCATAGAAAAAAGGTCACATAGCAGCATTCATGGCACCGTTGGCCATAGGGATTTTGTAACCAATGCCGGTTCTACCATTAGGAGTAAGCACCTCAAACTCTCCAGCAGTAAATGACTTGTTTTTGTGGAAAACATGTCTTCGTAGTTGCGAAAATGCACAGTACTTTACAGCATTAACTGTTATGTCTTCCAAAAATGCAGAAACTGAAACTCTTACTCCTTCCCCTGAATTTACAAGAAAGAGGTACATCAGAAGACCTTACATGATTATTTCTTAAGCATGCAGTAAAAGGTTTTGAAGACGTATTTCATGCATTTCCTACCAGACCTTGAGGGAATTGGGTGTTGCAGATTAGCAAACAGGAGATAATTAAAACTAGGCCAGCCAAATAGTGAGCTTACCGTGTGTGACAAGCAGCAAGTTTTCTGAAGGGTATTTATCTGCGAGCGTCTTAATAACTCGTTCATATCTAGTCCTTGCACCCATCACAGTCTCTTCCCATTGTGGAAGCTACAATTCCTCAAGAAAATAACCAAATATGAGACATGATGACGTGCAACGTAGGCATGTACCTTGTTACTCTTTAATGCTCTTTTCCCTTAACCAAACAGTGTTTTCTATACTTACCTCTTCATACACTGGTTTCACAGCACGATCCACTGTCCCCGCTGGTAGCAAGGCTTGAAGCTCTGCGATATTGAATCCAAAGTTCCCATCTTTGGGCACGGAAACACGCCTAATGGCTTCTCTATTCAACATCTCACACAAACCATACTCAATAGAGACCTGAAAATGGACAATCAACACTTAAAACACAAAAGCCTTAAAACAAATGGAGATCCAGTCAAACAACATGAACACCACAATCACTACAATCAACGATACCATTACACAAACGAATAAAATATATGAGACCCCAAATGAATAATTACCAAGTTAGCATGAACTTTCAGAAAGATTTAAGCTCCCAAATGCCATTATCAATTCCATTAACATCTTAAATAAATTTCTAAATACGTTTCCAAAACTAACTAGTAAAAAATATATCAAATCCTTAAGATTATACATGAAAATAATTGAAATTGAAATTTATTTTGAACTGAGCTCGAGAAGCTTCATTCATTTCATAGTACTTATCAAAGTACATAGGTCACTGTTTCATTGATACGCAACCAAGTCGTCTCGGTTCACTAAGGCTAGCATTAAAAAAAAAAAAAAACGAATTCTTAGCTCTCTATTAAGGCATCATTTATAATCATATACTTAAAAACAAAACAAACTTAAAAAGTTCCTAATCATTTATAATCTAAAAAAAAAACTTAAAACCATGATCATCAGTAATCAATCAACTTATCTAGCTAACCAGTTCCTTATCATTTATAATCTATAAAAGTTGCCGTATTGTAAATGTGAAAACGGAAAAAAAGAGAACACCTGCCTTGAGTTTAGAGGGATCGATGGCGACACCGTGGCTACTAACAATGTCAGGCCCATCGTTGACGGCGCAGAGGGCGGAGACAACCTCGGAGGCGGTCTGGATACAACGGAGGAAAGGAGAAACAAAGACCCGATGGATTGGGAAGCCAAGATTGGCTTTAAGTTTCCGACCCGTATGAAAAGCTCTTAACCGACCCGCTTCCGCGAGAGTTGGGTCCCATGGTCTAGTGGCAGTTGTGATCCATAATGGCTCGAAGTTATCGATTCGGTCACCGTGTCTCATGACGACAACGTTTTGCTGCTGGTTAGCATCGTTATTTTCATGTGAGGTAGGGTCCATTGTTGTTTTTGTGGACGTGAGCTCGGAGCGTGGAGGTTTAAAACGAAATGTATATATAGACATACGAGAAAAAAAAATTTGTGTGTTTCGTGGAAGAAGAACATGCGTCAGCACACTCCCATCTTGTCATTTTTTCATGCCACTTTCCATCATATATATATATATATGTTGAAAAATAAATGATAAGATTACTATTTAGATTAGTTTTTGTTTATTTAATCTATTTTGGATTAAAATATAATTAATTACATGTAGTTGTTTTTAATTACTGTTTTTTTAATCTTGAAGATGTAAAAAAATCATTCTAAAAAAATATTTTATATCTTTAATTAAATATATTTATATTTATATATTTTTTTCTTTTTCAAAATCTTATATTTCACTTCTATAACTGCAAGATTCAAAGTTTTGATGTATGGTATAAAGATCCCCGTGTGTAAAATAAATTTAAAATATTTATCTTTGTTTTAAAGGTTTTTGAGTTAGTCAACCGACAATGATGGTGTGCAACAATTTTTTTTTGGTAGTTTTTTTTTAAATTCAAAATCGAGAAGATAACATTTATGTCTAAGAGTTTTTTCAAGATTATAGAGATTATATTTTAAAGTGTATTTTTATTTAAAAATATATTAAAATAATATTTTTTATTTTTAAAATTTATTTTTGATATAAATCCATCAAAACGATTCAAAAATATTAAAAAATTAATTTTTATACAAATAATATTGTTTCTGACAATCGCCGTGATTAGGCTCCTTACATTGAAAATACTAGGTCATATGATGGTTTACATCAATATCAAAATACTAGGTCTCTTCCGCAATCTCTTCAATTTTGATAGCAGCAAAAGCGTTGGATCGATCAATTTCTTCATTAGAAGAAAAGCATCCATTTACTTTATGATTAGGCCCCTTACATAAAAAACAAGTGATGCCACCATGTCCACAACCACCATGATTTGACAATTGTTTTTGACAAGTTCTAGAGGAACCTCTATTAAATCAAGAGAATCGAGTCTTTTTAGCTTGTGATGATGAAGCATTTTTAATGGAAATTCAATCACTATGGCCATGAATACTAGGATTCACCCATAGCTTTGGGTCTGTTCGGTCGTGATTTGTATAGAAAGCAACATTGAAAGTAGTTGCTCGTGCTCTTGGATTTCAAAATCATGGAGTTTGCCAATAACTCCTTTAAGAGATGAAAAAATATCTCTCACATTCAATGTTGCTATTATAAGATCAAATTCAGATCCTAATCTTCAAAGAATACAAATGATGTACTCGTCATCATTCACAAGTTTTCATGTACCATAAAGAGACAAAACCATAGATTTTGCTTTGTGTAAATAATCTTTTAAAGAAGTACCTTTGTTTAAGGAATTCAACTTGCCCTTAATTTGTTGAATGCGATCTCGAGTATGAGTATTATAAAGGGTTTCCTATACGTGCCTGACATCATACAAATATTTGTTATTGATAACTTGAGAGAGAAGACCATCAGATAGGAAACTATTGATTTACCTAAGGATTAGTTGATCAGTGTATAACCAAACAATTGTTTCAAGATTTATTTGCAACACATCTTTCTCACTAATGATGGTTGACTCTAAACAAGGAAAGTAACTCTTCATATATCTAAAAAGACTATAACCATGTAAGATGAAAATGACTTATGCTTTTTATAAAAGATATTTGTTTAAGGCTAGTTTAATAGAGATATTAGGTAAGTGTGTTTTTAAAAGTGAAATATTAAAGGAAAGGGCTGGAGATACAATTTGAATTGAAGAGAAAGAAGCCACAAAGATAAAAAAAAAAAAACCCAAAAAAAAAAAAAAAAACTTTAATATTTTGTAAAAAAACTAACATTTTTTTTTAATGTATTGTTCTTGCCTTTAAATAGGCATTACAAGGGATTGATGTAGGAATGATTCTTACAATATACACACATGATTTTCATGATTTGTATGTAGAGATTATGACAATACAATGAATAACAAATATTGAAAAGATCATAAAGAGAATAAATGGGGATCCTAGCACACCAAAGAATCTTGGAAAATCCCTTCATATTTTTTCATGTAAAACATCCTTTAAATATCTTATAATTATAAATACCAACTCAAGAATCATCTTGATTTTACTTCAAGTAAATTTATATATTAATGAATAATGTTATTATCTAGACTAATAAATAGTTATTTAAAATTCATTTTTTAACATGGTATTAAAAATTATAACATCATTGTTCTAGAAGTATCCAAATTTTAAAATGTTTTCACTGTTTACCAAAAGAAATCGCATTTTATGGGTCTTCATTCACCTTATTCTAGAATCATACGAGTCTTTCTTTTTTTTGTTTTTCTTTTGTAGTCCTTTGACTTGGTAAATTTTCATTTTGGGTTGTTTTGTAAATTGTTTTTTTAACGAGAAGTTCACAAATAACACGTTGAATACATCGATAAATATCTTATAAAAAGAGATAATTAAGATGGAATGTTCTAAAAAGATATAAATTTATTTTAAAATAATTTAAAAACGATTTTTTTCTAACTAAACGATTTTTTTCGTATTTATGATTTCTATTACAATACAATAACTAAACTGAAAATAAATAACATGTGATGTGACCAGAATAATATTTATATAAATGTAATTGTTTGAATAAAGTAGTGTCGTGCAGCTCATGTGGATTGCCGACAAAATAGAGGAAAAGTATAGTGAAACAACCAGAAAGGAAAGCCGTGGATGATCATTTATATAGATTGTCTCTCCTCTGGCTCCGTAAAGAGATGACTTCATTCTTTTATTTTTATTTTTTTTTAAAAAGAAGCTTAAATCAATTGATTAGTTGACTTTGTAAGCCTGTACCTCAAGTCAACTGCTGCATCAATTGTCAATTCCTAACCTCCTTCCCCTTTCCTCCCGATCCAAGTAAACGCGGTGCAGTTTCTTCGAAGACCAGTATACAACAAGACAGATTTATTCGAAGCTAAATATCAGATACCCATCAGATTATTGAATTATTATTAATTTTATATCCGAATGATTTTTTTAATCAATTTTACCATTACATTATATTGACTTCTGAATTAAGATTTTACACTGAGATAATTATTATAAAACATTAATTTCTCTACAAAAAGACCATTTAAAAAACAGTATAATTTAGATAAACAAATCACCAAAAAGATTTAAAATATATGGAAGTGTTTGATTAAATTTTTTTGAGATCCTGAGAGTAAAATTAACATAAATAATTTAGTACTTTTGAGGTTTGCTCTTCATCCAAAGATGTTAATTCGATAATTAGTAGGCTGTGCATATATGATATGTCTACTTGGCAAATTTTCCACGAAGGCTTAGGACTAAAAATTGATGCATATACTCATATAAATGTCAGTGAACGGAGCATTTGAAGCGGGCATCTAGACTCAATTAAAAAAAAAGTTAATGTAGGGATTAAAGTATTTTTATGAAAAAATATGAGGATAAGAATTTTTTAATTATGAACTTATTTATATAAAAAATATCAAGTAAATATAAAGGTCCAAATAATATTTTTTTAAATGAAGGGACTAGAATGAATGACCAAGCATTTGTTAGTGGGTAATAAATAAAATAAGCAGCACAGGGCCGGATAGTTTTTTAATAGAAAGGCATGTAAACGGCTTGCTAAACGTGATATCCGACCATACCTAACTCGCCATCATTTTCTATAATTGACCTTTTTTTTCCATGCAAGCTAATTGACGTATGGGTTAATTCGTAATTCAAGTAGCTTTGTTAAAATTTAATTTAATTTTTTAATTAAATTTAAAACATAGTCTTTTAAATTTACTTAGTCAACTTAATATTCATTTAAATTTAATAACTTAGGTCGATAATATTAATTGTCTCCGCTACCCACCCAACCCAACAAGAACTTTGCTAGCAGTTTACAAAATCATGGCTGGCATGAACAGACGCCGTGAAGACCGACTTGCCGGAGAAATATGACGCCATGAACAAAGCACTGGTCTTAAACTAGTAGCTATCAGATAATTGATGACTGGGTCCTGAGCTAGTTCCATGCATACCAAACTTAGTTTTCCAGAGAAACAATTTATATGTAAAATCAACAAAATCATGCCATAATATTCTTAGTATGACCGGGTCTTCATCTAATTCCGTACACTCCAAACCATTACTTCTAATTTCTAAATAGTTAATTCATACTCACATGATGAAATATTGAAAAATAACATATTTTATAGGAAATGTTTTTTGTATAAACCAAACACTAAATGCCACATATCCAAAATTCGCCGGCTTTTAACTTCACACTAAATGCCACATATCCAAAATTCGCAGGCTTTAAACAACTCCTTGACCCATATCCAAAAACCAAGTTCGAGACAACAGCCGGCCATGGTTTTTGCCTCGAAGTTTTAAGCTCTTGTTTCTTTCCCACCATCCCGTGTGCTGTGCTTTTCACAACGTTGAAAAATCTCTCAACCTGTGTAAAATATCTATCTAACAGGCTCGAATAATTTCTTCAATTAGACATTAATAGGAGGGTGAACCTATTTAATGATTAAAGCATGTGCAGAATATCACATACCATTGCCGGCATTGAGTATTAGTGTATAATAGTTTACAGAATTGACCGGCTCGAATTGAGCGTGAAAAAAATATTTAAGCCATATAAATTTATATGGCATTATTTTTAAATAAAGTTTAATAGATGAACCTTAAAATTTAAATAAAGTTTATTCAGATATTTTGAATATTCTACGTGTACTGCTTTACTTTTTCTTCGATGAATTTTAAGTTATTTAATCCTTTTTTTTTATTGGCATTACTTTATTAGTTTTGATTTTTTCAAGGATATCTAGGTATAGATTTTACGGGAGAGAAGAGAGTTCTACTGCTTTCGCCTTTTCCACGATCTGTTTTCCTCCTTCAGTGGTCGTTTCGGCCTAGCTTACTCATGTGCCTGGTCCCCACCTCAGGTTTCATTTTTATTTTTATTTTTTAAATAACAATTTATTTATTTATTTGGAGAAGCGACACCGAAAATTACCTGACCACCTCTTCTCCTATATGCGTACGTGAGACAACAGCCTTCAGAATATCTGAAAGGCCAACAATAATCAATGGCGTTGAAGTGGGCTATCTAGATGACACACGTCACAAACCCCAGATCCAAATTACAATAGAACATAGATTAGAAGCAGAAGAAAAGCACAATCATATTATTCTGAGAAAAATCAACAGGAACCCGGAACCATGAGTGATTTGTTGTCACTGTGGATGCTAGAATATGATGAAAGTTGTTTTTTAAAATAATTTTTATTTAAAAATATATAAAAATAATTTTTTTAGTTTTTAAAAATTATTTTTAAATGAGTGAATAAAAATAATCTGAAAATACTAAAAAAATATTAATTTACAATAAAAAATAAAAAATTAATTTTTTTTAAAACATGAAAATAAACAGAGGACATACAAATACAAATAGGGGAGCTTACCCAGTGATTTGCGGAAAGGCCCCAACAAGAGGAAGAAAAAAGTTGCCAAGGATCTTTTGCCAATATACTCGTTCTAAAGGTAGATGCACAGAAGGAAACATCTAAGTAGAAAAAAACAACATGGAGATTTCAGTTTTCAAATTAAACTTATTGATTTTATAGGAATTTTACAAGCATATGAGTTTATCTTTTGGTTGAATGAAGTTTCACAAATTTTTTAGTATAAGAAGGTTTTAGAACAAATAAGGATGGAAATAATTGTGATCAGATTGAAGGGCTAGACTTTTTCCTGGTGAAAACAATTAAAGAGATCGCGAGTGAAGAAAGAAAAGTCAAGAATAAATGATTAAGATAAGATGAACAATTAAAGAGATCACGAATGACGAAATAAAAGTCAAGAATAAGTGATTAAGATAAGATTAAGGAGCATTTCCTTCCTTTTAGCTATACACACACCTATACAAACGACTCCATGTATTTAGATAAAGAGATAAATATATTAACGATTATACCAACAAGTTCTATCAATTAGTGTCTAGAGTGACTTAGTAGAAATAGAAGGACAACTAGTGGCAAAATATTTAAGAGGTTTATGGTGGTACATCTGGGATGTGTTGTCTTTGCAATTTTTTAGATATTTTTGAAGGCATGTTAAAGGGTTGATAGTTGAGAAACAACATGCTGCTAGGATAGTTAATAGAAGTTTTTAAACTGATCTATACAAAAAAAGATAACATAAAAATAATCAAAGTCTAGCCACTCTTAAGTCAGACTTACTTAACAAACTCAACAAATAACATGTTAAAGTATAGGTCAGGACTCTAGTTCAACTTTTCAAATTTGTTGTTATGAATATGGTAAATTAAGATATTAGGCTAACGAGTACAACAAATAAAAAAGTTATCTAAGTAAGAATTTGTTGATAAAGGATCATGGAAATGATGTGGTTGATTTTATAATGACTCGATTAGCATTGAAAAGATTTTGTGTGGAGATTGTGGTGCTAACCTAGTAATTTGAAAGAATCTGCTAACTTTTAAGGATTCAAAAAAATAAAAATAAAAAAATAAAGGCTTACTAACATCTTCTACTTAACGTGTATCATAAAAGATAAGATTTGCAACTTAATAATAGACAATGGTAGTTGCAAAAATGTGGTATCCGTGAAGACAATAAAGAATATCCAATTAAAAATCGATGGCCATCCTAAGCCCTACCAAATGACTTTGCTAAATAAAAACATTATGTTAATTATGGATGGGCTCTCTCTCGTTTTATTTTATATAAGTAAGAAATATTTTGATAATATTTAATGTGATGTTTATAAATATTTGTTATCTAATATTGGATAGGCCATAACAATATGAATAGAAAGTGTACACGACAAACAATATAATTTATATATAAAAGGAAAATGTATAATATTATTATACCCAGAATAGATAAGGTGGCTGTTGAAAAAAAAGGTAAAAATATATTGTTTTTATCCAAAATTATAGAGAAAAATGAAAGGAAAAGAAATAAAAGAAAAATAAAGATAAGGTGAAAAGTTGGATAATATAGAGACTAGAGGATTTTTAGAAAAACAATATTGTTTTTATTTAGTTTAGAAAAATATATTTGTTTTTGGTGATTTTATTTTTTTCTATTTAGTATAGGAAATCAAGTATATATTGAAATTGATAATTTTTTTTTAGGATTTTCTGTTACTTTTTCTTTATTTTCAAGGTTTTTAGCTTGTTTATGTTGCTTTTTAAGCTTATTTAACCATAATACAATTTTTTCTTTGCTTGTTTTGGCTATTAATATGTTTTTGCCTGTCATTGTTGTATTGCTTATGCTTCCTCCGGCGTCATTTTTTTCTTTTCTTGTGTGTATATACATAATGTATACACACACACACACACACACACATATGAACTTTGATTGGATGTCTTTTTATAGAGTGTGAGAAGCTAGCGATAACGGTTGAGAAGGGATTTGATGAAGTTAGCAAGAATTCAAATTCCTAGCTATTTATGTGGGTCTTTGATGAAGCTAATAACAGACAAGAAATAGAAAGAAGGAACAAAATCACAGCATCTGAAGGATCAGGATTGACAGAAGAGAGGAGCCTGGCTCAACTCAACCTGCAGGTTCATCAGAGATAGCAATGGAAAAATATATAAAAACTTAGAAAAAATGACAATCAAAAGAGCATCCCAAACTACTAAACATAACTTAAATGTAAGACTAATAGAAATTCCCAAGCTAGCTATAATGAGGCGTATAGGAATCGATGACAGAACACAGTCAGTCCAACCTTCATATAAAAACTTAGAAAAAATGACAATCAATAAAAACTTAGAATATCAATGGTTTCCCACTGCATTAGTCTCTTGGATTCAGGCTTGTTCCACCACCAGCAACCCATTCATGATCCTAGTCCAATATACATGAAAACGTTACTGAACAGAAACTTCATTTTTATGATGCAAAATCGCATTTATTTAACTCAAACCAGATCCGAAGTACATCAAGATGGACAATATACATTACATCCCTGTACAAATCAGCTTACTTCTTTCACAAGTAGCTCTCATAACTTGACAACAAGAAGCCTTAATTTTGAAATTCTAGTTAGTTACCTGCAATAATGCAATTTTCTCTAAATAACCTTGGAAACAGACATGCAAAGAATCTGAACTACAACGTTTGAAGTGTCATCATCCAGGTCGAAGCTTCTGAGGTTTCATGGAATCCATGAATAACTGGAGGAAGTGTACCGACTGGGCTCTGTAGCAAGAAAATAGTTTGTGAAAAGTTAAATTAGATTAACGAGACTGAATTTGATTCATTAAGAAATAATAGAAAAAAAAATCAACGATCTAATGGGGTGGTTGTGGTTTGCGTTTAATTTCTACTTATTTTCAATACTCAAGCTTGAGTTCTACCCAGACCTACTTAGGCAGAAGTTTGTCGCCATCAACTAGCTCCAAGAAAAGAGCTAGGGGATATTTCCCTTTTCCTTCTTTATGTCCTTTGGTATAAACTCTTAATTTCCTGAAACTATAAGAATATAAGAAGAGAGACAAACTTAACAACGAAGACAAAAGGGATATGTTGTTGTAATATAAAGAAACATGCGACTCTAATTAGTAGTTGGGCCGGAACAATTCCAACTCCTCTCTCCAGCAGTAAACTCTTGAGAATTATAAAAGTTCTGATCCAGTTTAGAGAAAGTTTTTAATCTTCCATGTTAAAAACTACGAGCAGGTTGCTTGATCATGGAATATAATTCCCTCCCCCCATCTGCATCCACACGAATTGTTTCATGTAATCATTCATGATTCACTCCAAATTAAAGGACAGAAACAAAGGTAATGGACGTAGCAAGCTACCTTGGACAGCTAGGTACTTGTTATTTATCTTATCATGGCCGAACAATTTCAAGTCCACATGACGGCGATGAGGAAGAGGGTTGTCGTTCGCCAGCTCCAGGAAAAGGGAAATATAGCCTTTCCATTTCCTTTCTTGTTTCTCTCTAGGTCGAGACTCTACCTCCTGGCACGAAAAAGAAAAAGAACAAAAGATTGCTTTATCACTTGATGATGAGCCTCCTTCCTTTTCTCCTTCCGAATGGGTTATTCGAAGGAAGGTGAGTGAGAATCAGACCAAACTACTTTTTTCATGACTAGCATCGAAAACTTCAGATTCATACTAATGATTAGTGAACAATATATCAACAGCAACCAACAACGATATTAAAAATAGTTTTTGCACTGAGGGCTTGGTCTAGCGGTGAAAGGGGCTTGTCTCCTTTCACAGCACATGGATTCGAGTTCTGGTATGCACGCCTGTCACCCCGCGGTACCTACGCCTGTCATCCCGCGGTACCTTACATGACTACTAGATTTACAGGGTATTTAATAGGCCGTGGGGATTAGTTGTGGTACGCGCAAGCTGACCCGAACACCCTACATAAATAAAAAAAATAGTTTTTCAATATATACAAAGTCTCTGCAGATGTTTAGAAATTAAGTTTTTTTAGAAAAATAATAATAATAATTGCGCCGAAAATCAGTTTAAGCTTTTAATACATGAGCTCAAGACTTCGAAACAATAAAAAAAAAAAAATCTAATCCTTACTCGGAAGCACTTTTAAATAATAGCATTTGTTTATATAAAAAATTGATCATAATAGTACTGTCACGTCAAATAAACAAGAGGTTAATTATACTAGCAACAAATACACTTTTTAATTTTAAATAAGAGCACAGCACAGTTTTTGAATAATACATTTGGTGTTAGACACCAAAATAATTATTTGTATCCACTCCTCTTCTTGGGCTTGAACCTCTTGCCCCATAAAGGTTTAGCATCGACCCAAAATTTGGCTTCAATTTTTCCATTCAAGATCATGGCTGGTACATAAGACGCAGTGAAGACCACTTTCCCGAACAGTGGTGGTGCACCTTGATCCTTCGGCTCAGGCCAATGCACGTACACCCTTTCCACACATGACCCGTAATTCCTGCTCAAGTTATAAAAACACAATTTCCCATCGCCTATTATTTAATTTACTTTATTAACAATTAAGACTGTAATAGTGATGATTTTCCTAGTTTTTTTAATAGGGGCTATAAATTAGAAAGGTAAACAATCACATGATTCCTAGCATAACTAACAAACACAAAGAAATTAACCAAAAATTATAAACTTATTTATATATAATGGAAAATGATTAATTTGTATAACTAATAAAAAGATAATTAACTAAAAAGTAATGCGTAGAGACAATTGATAATAGACAAAAAGAGATTTTCTTAAAATTACCACCTATTTCATTGTCTCCATTTATTACCTTTTCGTTATTTATATTCATAAGGTATATCATTACTCGAATAAAGTTATACCATGCTAATTATTGAATTAAGCTAAATTATAATGACTCAATTGGAAATATTTCAAATATTTTTAATATTGTATCAATAAATAATAATAAATATATAATGTACTGAATCCCTCGAGTAAAACTTTAAACTCAACACGCACAATTCAATCTTGTCTTTCAAATATTATCCAGTTTGGTGATTGAACTAAATTCATGGTCATAAAAAGAAATTTTACCAAATCTAACTTTTTTTAAAAAAAATTCATTCATTGAATGAATAAATTGAATCCTATTAGTGGTTTTAATTCAGTATTTATGATTTTTAAGAAATGATTTAGTACTAAAATTTAGGGCACTACAATTTGTTATCATTAAATAGACTATGTAGCAACTACATTAATTGCCTCTATTTATCTGTAGCAAAATCCTCCGATTAATATACTTACATTGTGAAAAACCTGGAGATTTGACTTTCAGTGAGAGGGTATCCATTTGAGAACGTCAAGAACAAACATCTATTTTCCTCGGCTGCTCTCTCTGTCACAGGATTCCACTCTTTGGCTGAAGGGTTCAGCTTGGATCCAACATATGGTGCAATTGGTTTTGCTCTGCTGCCAACTTTCTCGGAACCGAATTTCTTAACGTCTTCCAGGGGACTAAAAACATTCCCCTCGGTAATTTGCTCTCCCATCCTTTCTAAAATATCCTTCAAGACCACACAACAGACTCCGTTATAGATCTCTGTGATACCCTTTAAGGCCTTTTCTTTATCAGCAAGGATGACATTGAGACACAAGAAATGTTCGGTTAGCTTTGGAGTGAAACGCATCAAATCTGGTGATATGGGATTTTTTGACAGTTGTTTCAGAAATGACAGAATATCCTCAGCTTCTTTGGCTAGTAGAGTCAAGAATTTATCATCATGAAGTAAGATCTTTCTCATAATTTCTCGAAACCCTTGTGTCTCTAGCCAAATCCAAAATGCCATCACCTTCATTGCCACTCCAACTTCAATTCCAAAATGAATCATCCGAACGAACAGTACTGACCTTTTACTAGACTCGTCTGATGATGATGATGCAGCCATGTGGTTATAGAGGGAAACTGTGTTTCCTATGTAGGAATATAGAAGATAAAGAGTAACCCTGTGGTTTCTGTGTATTGTGTACAGATAAGAAACTTTGTCTGTGTGTAGATGAAAGAAATGAGGAGGGGTTATGGGGGTTTATATAATAAAGGGAAGGTTTTGATTTTTGAAGGTTTGCGATGGTCCGTAATGGCTTTACAAGGAAATTGAAATCCCTTATCTGAAAAGGGAACGGGTCGGTGTGTTTCATCAGGAAAGTTTTCAGCTTTGAAAATAAGATGATGCTCTGCGAATGGCTGTGTCTAGTTATGCAAACCTCCTCACAAACTAATTGGAGGAAAAGGAGTTGTTCCATGCAAAATTAATTCTTGATGTGATTAAGATTCAAACCTCGGATATCAAATTAATTAAGTTTCCACGAAAATGCGTGAAATGAAAGGAAAGTTATCTAGAGAAAAATTGCAGTTTTAGTTTTTTTGATTTTTTATGCACTGATTTGGATTCAATTTCATTTTGCAATGTTCGAGCGAAACTATGGTGAAAATATATGTAATCCAACTTGAGTCGATTCAATTATATTCCAATTCTAATATATATATATATAATTTTTTAATGTGATTATGTGTGGAATGCATTGAGAGATCGCTTTGCACCGAAATTATGTTAAAAATTTATCTAATACAACTCCAGTCAATTCAATTATGTTCCAATATAACAAAATATGATTTTTTATTTTTCTTTGTAAATATGTGAAGTATATTTTGAGGCAATATCCAAACTCAATAGCAATATTGATCAGATTTTGTTAAAATGGAGAGAATTGATTCGGAGTTCTTCTAATTGCAATTGTGGGAAAAGAAAAGGAAAAAATTCATTTTTGATGGATCCAACAAAAAGAGTTCCTATTTTTGATTAATTCCTCATGTAATTGTGAGAAACTCCTGACATGGATTAATTCCAATTAATTCCTCAAGTTGCACATATTACAAGCAAAAGTACGAGACCTATTTTTGATAGATCCAACAAAAATAATGATGATTTAATTTACATGTTCATATGAGTTCCTTACTAAAATATCAGTATTACATTAGTTTTAAAAGATTGGCATGATGGTTAAGCAGATATGTTTCCTTTTTTCTTTTTCTTTTATTTTTAAAAAAACTTAAATTATGGAGCTAGCACTCAGTGAAATTTATTAAATTTTTAAAAATATACTAGACTGATATAAAAAATTTATCTAAGAAACTATTAAAAATAAAGTTTTATCTCGATTATTTTACCTCAAAATTTTCTTTAAATGTACTAAACCGTATAAAATGGTTTGAAGATATGTACATTGAATATAAAAAAGTTACCATGCCTAGCTAGCCTACCTGATGGGATTCACCAACGCACGAGCCAAAATAGCAGCCACCTTGCACAATGAAGAAACAAAGATGGATCCTATTTTACAAGAAATCAGAAAGTTTGTTTATCCAAAGATTGGGAAGTTCACCGCACGAAGGCAACTGCTGTGTGAATTGGCTAGCTAATTATGGTCATGGTTTGGAGCTAGGAGCTCACCCTTCTACCAACTTTCCAGAGGGCATTTTCTTCTTTGATTTTTGCTGATATGATGTGGGTATCCTTACCCAGTAGTAGTGTGTTGTGCCCGTTACTACAACAAAAAGAAAAGATAAAGATGGACAATGTCCATTTCTGTTGCATCCTTGATAGAAATCAACGCATGGTTTCTCATAGACATCCTTGATAGAAATCAACGCATGGTTTTTCATAGAAAGGTCACTTAACAATAAAACATAGAGGTTAATTATTGATACGAATAACAGAGTGACGATTGCAGTATGAGAAATGGTGCAATTTTCATGAGAAAAGCTTGGACATGGACAAGGTAAGAATTTCAGCTTCAACAATTAAACTGTCATTCCTAACATAACGCTTGGAGAATTAATGTAGATCTCCCAGTGGCATTAACTCTCGGAAACCATGTCTATGACTGGAGGAGGTTAACCAATGTGAAACTGCAACAAAATAATCTGTGAGAAACTTTAGTCAATAAGAAGTTCAATAACTAAAACTGGCAAAGATGGAAAACTTTTCATGCCTCAATGTTCACTAAGCAGCCATGAAGTTCACAAATACTGTAGCCACGAGTAATGTTAATTTTCCAAATATTTTTGGAGAAGTGATAAAAATATCTTAGACAACTGTTTTGTTAGGCATTTCCAGTACCATATATGCATCTATCTCTTCTGTCCTTTCTTCAATTGGGATTTTAAGAGTAGGGTGAACATGTTATATCTGTTCTTATGGGGTGGTTTAATTACTTGTTTCTTCGACATGTTTGTCATGGCGTGGGCCCAAAACTCGTAGCTTGTATTCTGCCCACGGTTTTCTTTGGTGGAAGTTCATCACCATGAACTAGTTCCAGGAATACAGATAGTGAATCTCCCTTTGCTTCAGAATTTCCTTTGGGATAAACTTTTATTCTCCTGAAACGATGGCAAGAGCCAAAATTAACAACAAAACTCGAGTGGTTCTCGAATGGAAACGTTTGTGATTATAAGGCAGCATACCAACTTCTCCCTCCAGCAGTAAAGGCTTTGGATAAATATGAGCTCTCATCTAGTTTAGAGAAATCAATAAAATAAGGGAACTTGCGTCTCGTTGTGTTTGGAACCCAAACGAAATTGTTGCTTCCCGACCTTAAGACACGACCATCGAACTCAAAACTTTTCTCCTGTTACAACCAGCCTTCCAACCCAAGCACTGCACACAAAAACTGTCTGATATTTCCCATCCAACGGCTGCGATGACACACATCTCTAATCAGACTCTTGAATCTCTGTTTTTATCGTAGTTATAAAATTAATTTAACTCAAAATCTAAATAGTGAGTTGGGTTGACAGAGGAAAATTGAACCGGTTTTTAATTTAAAAAAAACACAAAATATCTAATAGCTCGTTTGTTTATGTTTATTTATGCATTTTGAGTTGTGGTTAAAGTAAAAGGTTGTCAAAGTAATATTTTGTATTTTAAACTTAAAATGTATAAAAAACACATATATAAACACTTTTTATATTTTTATAAAAATAATAGTCGGATTTTTTCACTAACTTATATTAATCTTCTAATATCTTGTTTGACATTGCAATCTATTCATGGTTTTTTTAAAAATATTATCTTTAAATTAATTATTTTTTTATATTTTTAAATTATTTTAATATATAAGTATAAAAAGTATTATTTTAATATATTAAAAAATAATTTTAAAAACTTATTATCTCACTTTATTTCATCAGCCATTTTTACTTTTTTTTTTGGATTCAAATCTCAAACATCTGACCTTACGGATGTGTCCGGAATGGCCAAAAATGCTGGAAACGACACTGAGATCACCCAAATCGGACTTCGGATGGCTCCGATTTAAACAATCAAAATTTGGGATAAGTGGACGCTGCAAATGAAGCCACGTGGCAGGAGGAATAGTCGCTGCGCCACACCGGATCAAAACCCAGTGATGCTGACGTGGCGGAGCTGACGTGTCAGACACGTAGGCAATGGTGGGTCCACCCAATCTGACTTGGCAGATCCACGGAGATCTTCGTCTGACGTGGCTGATGATGTGTCAGATGCCGTGGCTGGTTGACCGGTCAGACGACTGATATGGCAGGTGACTTGGCTGTGACTGTGTCGAACCACTGACGTGGCTGCTGACGTGGCGGTGTCGAGTTGCAGGAAACGGCGAGGAAGACGCGTGAGGCGCGTCTGTGCGCGTGGGCAGTGCTGGTGACGGCGCGTGCAAGCACGTGCTGTATAAAAATTTTACTGACTATAATTTTAGTACAGCTTTCCATCTGGAATTTTTTTTTTGAGTTTTTATTTATTTATTTATTATTAGTTCAACTTAAGATAATTATTTTTATTAAAATATTATTATGCTTCCGAGTTATCTTTCTCTCTTTCTTTTCTGATCAAACACCCTCTTTTTCAAAAACTTTGAAGAACAAGCTCTGATACTAGTTGTTAGGGCATTCCGGCATTCAAACACACACAAATTTACATGGTTCGGCAACTTGCCTACTCCACGGAGCTACTGGTTTGTATTAATCAAGCTCAAAAGCAATACAAACAACAAAACAAGGAGGAGGAGAAAACTTCTCTACTCAACTCAACTCTCACCCTTAGCTCTCTCTCTCTGTGTTTCTCTCTATTTCGTGTTCTATATCAGCTATCAATGCACCCTCTATTTATAGCTGATGAGGGAGACAATTGTTCAACAATGGTGGGCAAGTTAGGCACCCACCATTTGACTATAACTATGTCAACCATGGCTGCCACCGTCCATTTGTGTCCACACACATAACAATAACATGGTTTATTATGTTTTTTATGAAATAATATCATTATATATATAACATTTAGCCAGTTTTATTTGGAGTTCACCTAGATTAAAAGTTGATTTATTACGCCATTCAAGTTTAAACAAGTTAACTCTTTAGATGATTTAAGAATACATCCTACCTGATCTAAACTGGATAGAGTTTCGTAACTATGCTTTTAAAAGAAGTGATTTTGGAAAACATTTTCAGCATTAAAATTTGTTAACGTTAAAAATAGACAAACTAATGACTACACTTGGCCCTGTTCTCTGGATTAAAATCTTCAAACTAAAATACTTCCAAGACCTAAAAGACCTGGAGAATATTTGAATTCCAATGAAAGGAGAACCATTTGAAGAGAAGTTTTATTGTATTCTAGAAATAATTAATAAAGAAGCATAATTTATTAACTCGAAGAAGATAACGGATAGAAAATCAAGAAGGGTGCCGTCCATTATATAAATAATGTGGTGGTTCCTTGTTAGGAACCTATAATTATACTAGGGATACCAGATTGGCAGCTTATTGATACAAATAATATAGATTGATGACAATCGTGGCCACGAAAATTAAAGGGTGCAATTTTCATGAGAAAAGCTTGGACACGGACAAGGTAAG